CCTGAAACACTTGAAACATAAGCTTGCAACATGAGTATTTTGTTATTGCAGCATATGCAACATCCGATATTTACTTTTGCAACACCCAGATGAAACACTAGAAACAAAAAGTCTGAAACATTTGAAACACAACGTTCGTCTGTGCGGCCACGGCCTACCTAGTGGGGGATTGCGGAGCCAACACAAGCTCGGGTCAGGGGGACGTTGAGAACAACGACCCAGCATACACCTCCGCTACAGGACTTTCTTTCCTGCCATGGTGTCTTCGCATGACCGCAGGAGACGATGTCCCGGACGACAACGATCTCTTATTGGTGGCACCGGGTTGGTGGTGGCCCGGTGACGCCATGACTGCGACGGTGCGAGGTGGAGTGGGCGTCTTGACATATGTTCGAGTCTCAGCCGGATACGATTCATGGTTTTTTTTCCTCGAAAGAAAGTTAGAAGACCCTCGGGACCGGTCGAACGGACCCAGGAACTATATGGATTGACTGCCAAGGGTCTGGAGTCGGTCACCAGTTGACTCGAGCAGGATCCCCGTGAACGGTATGCTGGGCCCCTACTCGGACTAGCCAGCTAACAACTCACCGAGCACCGTGGCTCGTCCATAGAGGAAAATCATGGCACGGCTCAGCCCCTCTGGTTGCGGAAACCGTGGACGGGGTGACAATCACAAAGACGAGCCGACCCTTGATCGGACCTCCGCTACGCGTGGGGGCTCGAGGAAAGTTGGGCTTGCAAGGAGACCGAACGCACAGTCACAGAACGATAGACCCCCGAAGAGGTCGAAATCAGGGAAGGACCTTTTCCGACCCACCAAACCTCACGACTACACCCCCGAGGGGTCCGATCTCAATAAAAGGGAATCACCGTCCCTAGGTCACGCCATGGGCGACAAAAGAAGGCCAAGGCCATCAGAGTCCTCCCGCTTGGAAAAACCTCTAAAGGAGTTTTCTACTCTTCCGTAGGCTCGGGGGCTACTGTCGGGGACCAATACTAGGGTACCCAAAGAGGAGGAGCTAATGACCATCAATATTAACTCATCCGAGCAGTCAAGAGCGTGACTACAGCTCTAACCGAGCCCCTGGCACGCAAGCTCCGCTTCTCCCGGCCTCTAGGAGATGGCACTGCCTTGCCCAACCTTTGGATCTGCGCTCCGCCTCGTCCGACCCTTGGGTCTACGCTCAGCCTCGCCCAGCCTCTGAGGGAGGACTCTGCCACGCCCGACCCCGAGGTCGCGGCCTTCGCCTCGCTCGACCCTTGGGCCCGCGGGGTCCACCTCACCCGACCCTTGTTCCTACGCTCCGCCTCACCCGACCCTGGGTCTACGCTCCGCCTCACCCGATCCCGAGGCCGTGGGCTCCGCCTCGCCCGACCCTTGGGTCTGCGCTCTGCCTCGCCTGACCCTTGGGCCTACGCTCCGCCTCCCCGACCCTTGGGTCTGCACTCTGCCTCGCCCGACTCTTGGGTCTGCGCTCCGCCTCGCTTGGCCTCTGGGGAAAGGACTCCGCCTCGCCCGACCCTGAGGCCGCGGGCTCCACCTCGCCCGACGGAGACCCATACCGTCGTCAACCACTCCTGGTCCAAGCGTATGGGCCTGAGTCAAAGCTCTGACACCAGGGAAGAGACCGTCAAGCCCTGATGTAACCCGCGGCCTTGATAGGCCATACCGCAGGATTCACATCAAGAACAGCGTCGAGCGTACCGGTGTTGTTCTGCCTAACCCCCATACGAACACTGACGGGCGTGTCAGTTCACCACGACGCTCGCCAGGACGGAGTGGAGCGCCATGACCGGCATATGACGCCTGCGCATGGCGCTAGTGACGGATAGGACCGCGACGCGAAGCCATCCCTGTTGACATCTACAGGGTCGGCGGGACTGCATGAAGGAGAAGAAGGACCTGGTGATCCTGAAGGCCTTCGGCTCTCTCTCTCTCTCTCGTTCTTCTTTTTTCTCCACTACAACCCATGCTTTCCTTTGGCCTATAAAAGGAAAAGCAGGGCGTCCCATAAGGGGCATCGCAACACATCACATCGATTCAGGCTAGATCAGATCGAACCATCACGAACCCATCGAACCCCGAACTAAAATGAGCTGAGGCCTATCAGCCCATGACCATGAATCCAAAAGGTGATGATGCTGACCTAGAAATGTCAACCTATTCTATTGGTATATAATCTTTATTTTCAACTGTTTCATATGGATTTTGATTTTATAATTATCGTGGTACTTAAATGTTGATTTATGGATTATTTTCTAGGGAGAAGATGATGATGCTGATATTAAATTTGTGGACTTTCCTAAGTCTGTGGTGGCAAGCAACTAGTAAGTATACTGGAACTGCATGGATCATGGATGGACCAACTATGTTGCATGATTGATACTTTTGATAAACCTGATGTGTATTAATCATGTATAGTTGCATAATAGTGGACGCGACCTTCTAGAATTAATGTAGCATAAACATTATAAACATGTGTGTCCTATTTTTTAGTAGCTCACGAGCTAAACAAGCCCGCTCGAGCTCGCTAACGAGCTGAGCTGAGCTACGCCTCTAGCTCGTAATATTAATGAGCTAAGCCGAGCTGGCTCGTTAGCCTAACGAGCCAGCTCGGGCTAGACTGAACCGAGCCGAGCTGGCTCGATATTTAGCCCTAATCTCCCTCGACTGGGCATCAAAGCTGCTGGTGACCATGATAGGATGCGCCGTGGCGTTGATCAGGGAGTTCACAGACAAGGAGATGGTGGTGGCCATCCACCGGCACCATTGCAACATGTGTAACACTAAATCTACTTTTGAAACATCCAAATGAAACATTTGCAATATACATCTGACGACAAATGAAACACTTGAAACATACGCGTGAAACATGTGTGTGTAGCCCATTGCAACATGTACAACACCAAGATCTATTTTTAAAACATCCAGATGAAACATTTACAACGTACGTCTGAACAACCTGAAACACTTGAAACATAAGCTTACAACATGAGTATTTTGTTATTGCAGCATATGCAACATCCAATATTTACTTTTGCAACACCCAGATAAACACTTAAAACAAAAGTCTAAAACATTTGAAACACAACGTTCGTTCGTGTGGCCACGACCTACCTAGTGGGGGACTACGGTAGTCAACACAAGCTCGGGTCAGGGGGACGTCGAGAACAACGACCCAGCATACACCTCCGCTACAGGACTTTCTTTCCTGCCATGGTGTCTTCAGCTAGCAGCAGGAGACGATGTCCCAGATGACAATGACCTCTTAATGGTGGCACTGGGTTGGTGGTGGCCCGGTGACGCCATGACTGCGACGGCGCGAGGTGGAGTGGGCGTGGTAGGGAATAGGGCGTGGGCGTGGCCAGCGATGGGGTGTGGCGCGGTGGGGGAAGGGTGCTCGGTGGGCCAGAGTGGAGCATACGAATGCGAGTTTGAAGAAAGGGCAGAGCAGGAGCACGGTGTTGGTGAAGGCTAAGAATGAGTGGATAAGAATTAATTAGAAATGAGCGGTTGTTGTTGCTGTGGGATAACCTGGAGTCCGTATGGTATTTTCAAGCATCGGACCAGAGTATTATTGAAAATAAAAAGGACGAGAGCAAGAGCATGAATCTGAGCGCCTAACTCCATGCCCAATGTCCGATGGTAGTAGGTTTGATACCAGCTCTGCTGAGATTCAAGATCTAGCTCGTAGTACCAGCGAGCAAGCAGAGGAAGAGGACCTTGGCATGCCCTTTGGGTCCACGGATTTGGATCATGCATGCGTGTGGTTGCACCTTCCGGTAATCCGGATGACACTGGTGGTTGCGAAATTATCGTATCTGTGGTGCCATGCCAGTTCAAACCCAACAGCGCCCTGCGCCAACGCGCGCCCTCCACATCTTCGATCCGCGCACCTAACAAGGGATCCAGCAGCTGCCGCATTTTGGCCTAGCTGTTTCAACAAGCAAATCCGCCTCTTGCCAGTCTCACGCGTTCCGGGGGAGCCGGCCTTTTGGCCGGATCAGCAGATTATTTTTTCTAGGCTACCTGTGTCGCTTGGGCGCTTGGAGAGATGAGCACAAGGAGAAATTCTACGTTTCGGTCACAGCCTGCTGGACAGTTTGCTGTGAATGCGAACGGTGGAAGGAAGAACCGAAGATGACACAGGTTTGCCGCGTTTGGCCGTAGTTTGAGGTGAAGGCGCGAAGCAAGTAGCCTGTTTGGTTGGCTGGTTCGTTTCGTTGCTGGTTCGTGAAGAAGTACTGTTGGCTGATTTGTGTGAGAAAAAAATACTATTCCGGCTGTAAATTTACGATCGTTTACGACAAGCCACAGCCAAACAAACAGGCTGAAGATCCCCGGATGGGACGGGAATCTGGTGGCGTTGTCATTGCTGTTTTCCATGATGTTCACAAGCTCCTTGTGTCCGGTCCAGTTCCATTATTGGTCATCCCAGATCCATACATACATAGTAGTACTGATGCGGAATTTTTTTTCTTTTCCAGAAAAGAATCGAGAAAAGGGTATGCTTGGCCTTGTATGTACAACAAACATCACGGGCAGTTTGGTTTAGGGGCGTAAAAACCTTGTTTAAAAAATTAAGCCGTTGCAGCTACCAACGTACAGTACAGGTCACCCGGTCTCCTCCTATGTCCGGTCCGGGCGTCCGGCCATCCCCAATTCCCCCTCACGCACACTCGCACAGCGACAGCGGTAGCCCAGTTCGAAACGGAAGAAACCAAGCGCAAACCAACGCCGAGCCCGCAGACGGACAGGCACGACGCCAGTCGCCAGTCCACTCTCTCCCACCATTCCGCCACGCCCACGCCTCGCTTCTGCTGCCCTCTGCTCTCCTCCCGCTACAAAAGAACCGCACCAATTTCACGGGAGCGCCCTGCTCCCTCCGATTCCGGCGTCCACTCTTCGCTCGCGGAAATCGCTCGGAGCTCGCCGGCAGTGCCCCGCGCTCGATTCCGGGAGAGGGGGGGCGGTGGAGTGGCCGCTCTGATAGTGAGCGATGGCGGCCGCGTCGAGGAAGGAGGAGGAGAGGAACGAGCGGATCGTGCGGGGGCTCCTCAAGCTGCCGCCCAACCGCAGATGCGTCAACTGCAACGGGCTCGTAAGTGCTCCTTTTCCGCACTGTTCGGTGTGGCCCGCAGCTTCTGATACGCTGGCGGTGCTCAATGTTTGCTCACTTTGCCGGCCTGTGCTTGTGCGTCTGTGACTTCTGATCCAGGGGCCGCAGTACGTGTGCACCAGCTTCTGGACCTTCGTCTGCGTCTCCTGCAGCGGCATCCAGTGAGTGCTGCCTTGCCATTTTTTCCGCGCCTGCTACTGGATTCCGTGCACGTGTGTTGTTATCAGCATTGCTCTCTTGTTATTCTGTCACGTTTGTTGGAATGGGATATGCAATGCGCCATGCGCGTTTATCCAAACAGCGATACATTCTAGTCGGCGGTACTTGATGGTTTCAGTTCAGTGCCAAAGCTTGTGGAGTTGAAGGTTTAATGCATTCTTTTGCCACCGTAATGCGAATAGATGTTGCTGTGTCAAAACTTTCGAATTCAAGGTTTTTTTAGATAAGGGAACAAAGTTCTGCAGAAGATGACTTAACTAGTCGGATTTGCACATGCTGATGTTTTGATCTCTTCTAGTACTATTATCCTAACACACTGATCGATGCACTTGTAGCCGAGAGTTCACGCACCGCGTGAAATCCGTCTCCATGTCAACGTTCAGCACGCAAGAGGTCGAGGCTCTCCAGAAGGGTGGGAACCAGGTGAAGACATCCACTGAGTTTGTTGTTTTTTGAGGCTAGGGGATGCCCTTTTGGTTCATGTGGTAACACTTCAGCTGATTGATACAGCGTGCCAAGGAATCATTCCTGAAGGACTTTGATACCCAGAAAATGAGGCTACCTGATAGCAGGTAATGAGTAATCCAACCACTTTTATGTGTGTGTCTTTTACTTGTCAAGCACATGCTCTGACTATAACCTGTTGTTGCAGCAACATTGGCAGTCTTAGGGAATTCATAAAAGCTGTCTATGTGGAGAGAAGGTATGCTGGTGGTAGATTTTCTGAAAGGCCTCCAAGAGATAAACAGGTAAATTTGGATGAATCTTAGAATTCTAGTTGTTATCCTGCCTGAAAATTGTCCTTCGTCGGTTCAGTGGCTTCAGCAAGCCTGCTGCTGTATCTGTAGATGTCACTGAATACTTAAGGAGGTGTACTTGTGATTAGAGTTCACTTATGTTTTATTCATTAAGTAAAGCCTTCTTGTAATGTACCTATCCTAGCATATCTTGCAGCAATGCATCTTTCTGAAGTAAATTATATTACATCTTTGCAGAACCAAAAGGCCCATGAACAAGAGCATAGAAGGCCAAGTTCCTACCATTCATTTTCACAGAGCCCACCTTATGATTGCCAGTATGAAGAGAGGCACAATGGCAAGCAATCTGCATTTCTAAGTAGGAAGCCTGGTTCAGATAGGGGGCATGAGGGGAAGATTTCTGGATATTCTTACAGTTCACATAGCTTGCGTGAGAGAATGTCTCAGGATGGATTTACTGGTGAGAGTTGTGGATCGAGGACTTCTAACTGCTCAGGGTCAAGCACGGGTGATACAGTTAAATCTGCACCACAATCACCTAATTTTCCTGATAATGTATGTTTCAGTCCCCCTGTGCTACAAGATCAATCAAATGTACAGAGTTCTTGTGGACTCACTAGTTCACAGGTGGGTAGAAATATCTTTTTTCAAAACCATCAACTCTCATTTCATGCCCTGTTCGCTTGGCTGATAAGCCATGGCTGAAAGTACAGTTGGTTGATTTGTTCTGAGAGAAAAATACTGTTCGTTGGCTGAAAAAGTACGGCTTATAAGCCAAGCGAATAGGACGGTCTATCGCATTAAATAAATATTCTAGTCTCTTTTGCAGAGAACTGTATCAGCAGGAAACATAGATTCTGTCTCTCTTAAATCAGGCAAGTCAAGCTTATTTGATTTTATTTTTGAGGATGATAATGTTCAAAGAACTGAAAAATCCACAAATTCCGCTGCTCCAAGTTTCATAGTCTTCTCTGATGATATTAGTGCTCCAAATCAAGATTTCGAAGCTACTCAGGAACATAATGTGACTACCATGGATCAATCTGTTGATCTATTTTCAAACATGCTTACTGAAACTCCATCTGCTGATAAAGTGATACCAGCAGCTTCGTCAATGGACAATGCTGGGTGGGCTACATTTGATACATCTCCAGAACAAAAGCAACCTGCACTCACTGGGCTTTCTTATGTTGCTGCCACAAGCATTGATAAACAGGCTGAGAATCGTGATTTGTTTTCATTTGAATCAAATGATGAGCTAACATGGTTTCAGAGCTCTAAGGATGATACTTCAGTTACTAATCAGAATCAGTCTACTGCTACATCTCTTGATACAGGCAGTTCTCAGGTAAGGAAAATTATCTATTTTGAGTCAACATTTGTTCACAATAAAATGAAGTTTGCTCCTTGTAAAATATGGCACACTTTTTTGAATATTTGAAATCATTTGCTTTTCTGAATAGGCTAGTGGCATTATCATTTATCAAGTTCTGCGATAAACTGTCTTGTGCTTCATACCTCTGTTTCAATTGTTAACTTTCTCTTCCTCGTTCCTCTCCAGCCTTGGAGTACTTTCGATGCCTCCAGCACCCAGCACACTGTCAAGGGAGATCTATCATTAATGACTTCTAGATTGCAAGAGCCTAAAAGACCAATAGACAGAAATAGTTCTCAGGTGGGTAAACATGAATAAGGGAGTTACTTTTTTGGCTGTTGAAATTTTGTTAGGTTATTTTTGCTTCTAACTCTTACTGTGGTTGTTATTTATTTGCAGCTTTGGCATTCATTTGATGATGCTAATGAGGTCGTTTGTGCTAAGCCGCGAATTGAAGACCACGGCAATGTAGTAAGCATTTCCCTTTCAACCAGCAATCCATTTATGTGCTCTGTAGTTTCAAAGGTATACCTTTTTCCTCTTCCGTTTTTGTATGGTATGAATAATCCAGTACTAAGGATATTTCCTTCCATGTAGGAATCTTATGATGATGATTCCCATATAGTATTCATGGGTGAATTGTCACCTAATACATTGATTGCTGCTTCCGCAGAGCCATCTCTGGTATCTTCCATTCAGTGATATGGCTTCTGTAGTTCCTATGCCATTTAGCTTTTGGTATACAGTTTCTATCAAGATTTATTTAGGGTTTATACATTACTCTTGTTTACAGGGTGGACCCTCTACTAAGCAGATGCCATTAAATCCATTTGATCTTCCATTTGACACTCAGTTGGGGACTCCTGATCTGGTATCCTAATGCCATTTCTTCCTTCCATTGATAAAGTTTTTCTTTGATTGATAACCTTTCGCAAATGGGTTCCTCTAGATGGCTCCTGTAACCAGTAGAATCTTGCAAACTGTATAATGCATCATCAATATAGCCTAAAGCATTCCGCTGCTGTGCAAAGCTATAAGTGCTATGCCTGATAGAATCTGCAAATCCATAACAGTCTAGAACACTGTTGATATATGTTTTCAACATCAAGGATGTCATAGTCATGTGACATCAGCAAAAGCATCATATTGTCAGAGGTCTGATAGTATATAAATTTAGAAAGTTCATGATTGAATCATACAATATCTCAATTGATGGTGGCTCTTGAAGTCCGGTCAATTTTCAGAGTTCTATTTTACTTGGACTAGCCATTTACCCATGTCTGAGTACTACACTACTACAGAGTACATAAGCAGATTTGGCTGTAACCGAGATTAGATAATAATTATAATCATGTACTTGTAGGAGTCGACTGTATTCCAGTCAACCAAGTAATCTGCGATGCTGTTTCAATTATGGCTGATAGTCTATTCGGTGCTGTAGAACAAATCATTACCTAACCTTAAAATTCAGTCCTATTCCCGACTCCCGACCTGCAGTCTGTATCAAGTGATGGCCAGCATGGTCAACTTGCCACCGACATCCTGGACTATACTTGCTATCAACTTTCTGACATGCTCCAATCTTTTGCAGTTCATGGGCGTAAGTTCATTGCAAGAGGCCTTGCCTAGTCCAGATCTGCCAGCTTTCCTTGATGGTTTACCTGAAAGATGGTTCCCCAGCAGTTCTTGTGCTTATGTTCCATCAGCGTCACATGGTATGCTCTCCTGGATCTATCAATGGTTATATTTCTACCGTTCACAACTTCACATCAAAACCACCGGACATGACTGGAACAACCTGTGAATATTCAGGTGGACTACCGTGCCTTCTCGAGCAGGGCCCGAACTCTTCGTTGCGGTAAGTTGCTCCCCTCTGCTGCATGCTTTAGTATAAACCAGGTATCGTTATTCAGGCTATCTGCTGATATTGGTTTTGTCGATCTAGGAATATACCTGTGGGCACTGTATCAACTGGAAACCCTTTTGTATAGAGGGCATCACAGTGAAAAATCTGCGTCTTGGACTTGGCATGTTCCTTTAGTTCAATGAACTTAGAGCTAGGAATCTTTTCTGTGAGAACCCGGACACCGTGCAAGGTGATCAGAGCGGGTGGGGAATATGATAGCACCTCCAGGACTCGCTGGAGGAATGTTTAGTGATTATGAGTTTCTGCCGGAGGAATGTGTATATTCTTTCTCCGTTCATGTACTCTAAAATGGACAGGATTATTCAGCACTGCGGGGCATCCTCTGTGGTACATCTCTTTCTGATAGCTACAAACGATACGGATGACTTCATCCAATCCAATCCAATTGTCCAGGTTGTTCAAGTACATGCACGTTTCCTGCGGATATGCTTCAGGATATCAACATCCATGGCAAGTTGGCAACCCAGTGGGGCTGTCAGCTGTGGCGCACCGCTCACCGGCAGCTGCGGACATGTCGGCTGGCTGTGGGAACTATACATGGAACAAGGATGGACTGCGATGCCGCATCAGTAACTCCTGTGGCGGCAGGTGATGTGAGGTGTGTGAGCTGCTGGTAGCAATAGCAATATATCTATTGGCGCTTAGCCTATTGGATAAGTACTAAAAATAATGGGTGGAAACTGGGAATGACAATGTTTTGGCGCCGGCGAATCATCGTAAATTGATTCGTAGCACGCCATTATTTGGAGAAAGTCTACGTGGTTGGATCCATTCGAATGGGACTTCCTCGGGTGCCTCTCAATATTTCTAAAAAACATGTCGGAGGTGGTTAATTATAATGTACATAAAATGACCATGTTTCACGACAGAGCACAGAACAGCAGAGGAGCTATATGATATCAACAATCCTGCGGGCTGAAAGCCTGAAACAAACTTGTTGAGGCTATCGCTAAATAGTTTTTGCACAATTAAAAGATACCGAACAAGTGTGTAAATGATGTAAAATCGGGAAAAAGCACAAAGTTCCACATGCCACTTTGTAAGTTTGTGTCAGCGGATCAACGTCTCCAACGGCTAGAGCTCGTCCAGGTCTCCTGCGTTGCCCACGTCCTGCGCTCCCGAGCGCTCCTCGCGCACTCACCGCACCAACGGCCTCCGGAGAGCGCGCTCTGCTGCGCACACACGCGCGCCCGGTCTTCACGGCGCCCACTCTCCGTTCTGGGCTCTCGCCCACTCACGCGTGTGTAGTGTGTAGTCATGGCCTGGCCAAAGGCCATTGTAACCTATAAATGTATACCATATACGATCAATGCAATCGGCCAATTGATCATCTTCATTCTACATGGTATCAGCCTCCTCTTCGATCCTCCAGAACCCCTTTGCCTCTCCTTCCGCACCAATGGCGTCTTCCTCCATTCCCTCTGACAACTCCTCTGATGACAGCTCCTTCGTCACCCCCGCCCCTGCCACTGTCATCCAGACGATCTCCATCCGTCACCATGTTCTAGTCACCCTCGACATGGACGAGGGGTACTACGGCCAGTGGCGTCTCTTCTTCGACTCGACTCTCGGCAAGTTCAGCCTTGAGAGCCATGTTCGCTCGCCCACCCCGTCCGATGAGCGCAATGGTGAATGGCGCATGGTGGATTCATGCGTCACCAACTGGATCCTCACCACCGTCTCCAAGGGCGTCTTCGACATCGTTCGTCGCGAACGGAACACCGCCTTCTCCCTCTGGCACGCCATCGAGGGACTCTTCCAGGACAACGAGCTGCAGCGCGTGGTGTACCTAGAAGCCAAGCTGCGATCTCTGCAGCAGGGGGACATGTCGATCAACGACTACTGCACCAAGTTGAAGCGACTCGCCGATCAGCTGCGTGACATCAGCCACCCTGTCTCTGAGCCCAGTCAGGTACTCAATCTTCTCCGTGACCTCAATCCCCGGTACCGCTACGTCAAGCCGGTGATCACCTCCAAGTCCCCGCCGCACAACTTCATGAGCGCCCGCTCCTTCCTCCTCCTCGAGGAACTCAGTTTCCAGCACGACACTAACGCCGAAGCTAGACAAGCTCTCATCGCGACCCATGGCGAGCGATCCAACGGCTCCTCCAGCTCTGCAGCAGCCGGCGCCACCGACGGATCTCCAGTGTCGAACGTGCCGCGATCCAACAACCGCTCCCACAACGGCGGCGCCAACCGATCCAACAACCGCTCCGATCGGCGGCGCGGCCGCGGCAATGGCGGCGGGTCCTCGCGCTCCTCCAACAACCTGTCCGCGCCTTGGGCCGCGGGCTACAATCCATGGCAAGGCATGGTGTAGCCTGGCCCATGCCATTCCGTGCCCCTGGTGCCGGTGTTCTGGGACCCCGGCCTCCATTCCAGCCACAGCAAGCGATGGCGGCCACCCATCTTCCACCGCCTTCATCGGCCGGTCCATCCAACGTCTTCGACAACAGTGCCCTCTACGCAACGCTCCATCCACCGACGTCCACCACCATCCACCGATTGCCTCGGATTGGTACTTCGACACAGGCACGACGTTGCACATGTCGTCCTCTCCTAGTAACTTTCCCTCTTCCACCCTTCGGCCCTCTAACTCCATCATCACAGTAGGGAATGGTGCTCGGATTCCCGTCACCCACCAAGCACACACACACTCATTCCTACTGCCACTTCCCCTCTTCACCTCAATGATGTTCTTATTTCACCTTCACTCGTTGAGAATTTGATCTTAGTTCGCCGTCTTACTCATGATAATAACGTTTCCATTGAATTTGATCCGTCTGGTTTCTCTAAAGGATCTTCTTACCAGGGCGGAGATGCTTCGATGTGAGAGCAGCGGCGATCTCTACCCTCTCCGTCTTCCTCATCATCAAGCTCTCACGGACTCCTCGGCGACATCCTTGTGGCATCAGTGACTGGGACACCCTGGAGATCCAGTCACCTCTCAAGTTTTGCAAACCTTTTCTTTTTAGTGTAATAAAGCTTATGCTCACTCATGCTCTTCTTGCCGGTTGGGCAAGAATGTTCGTTTACCATTTACTGAATCTACTTCACAGACTTTTTTCCCCTTTCAACTTGTTCATGCAGATGTTTGGACATCACCCGTTCTTAGTCATTCTGGTTATAAATATTACGCTGTCTTTCTTGATGATTACACGCATTACCTATGGACAACTCCACTTCGAAATAAATCTGATGTTTTCCCTACCATTCGAGCGCTTATTTCTTACGTTCATACTCAATTTTGCCTATCCATCCTAGCTTTCCAGACTGACAATGGCCGTAGTATGACTCCACCGCCATGCGTCTCCTGTTGTCTTCTCTTGGCACCCAGTTGCGTCTCTCCTGCCCGTATACGTCGCAGCAAAACGGGAAAGCCGAAATAATTCTCCTCACTGTTAACAATTGTTTGCACACAATGCTAATTCACAATGCAGCTCCCCTGACATTCTGGGCTGAGGCGCTTGCTACGGCGACGTACCTGATCAACCACCGTCCCTGCCGAGCCACCGGTTCCACGATGTCGTACGCCCTGCTCTTCGGTGTGGCGCCCTCCTATGCCAAGCTTCACGTGTTCGGGTGCCGGTGCTTCCCCAACCTGATTGCCACCTCGAGCCACAAGCTTGCCGAACGCTCCACACCGTGCGTCTTCATTGGGTACCCAGCGGATCATCGTGGGTACCGCTGCTACAACCTCACCACCGGCCATGTCATCACATCACGGCACGTCGTCTTCGATGAAGCAGTGTTCCCATTCCACGACAATGCCACAACCAACGTCAACGATATGATCCTCTCCGCCTCGTCGACACGCCTACTTCAGCATGTCATCGCGTGGCTTCACGACTGAAAGCTCTAGTTTGGTTTTGGTGAATTGATAAAACCCTAAGTGCTAACCTAGTTTATCAAAGTGATTATGAGATAGGTAGCACTACTCCAAGTAGTGAAGCAAATGAAGATCATGACATGATAATGGTGATGCCATGGTGATGATCAAGTGCTTGGACTTGGAAAACAAGAGAAAGAAAATAAAAAAGCTCAAGGCAAAGGTGAAATTGAAAAGAGCCTTTTGGTTTAGTGATCAAGACACTTAGAGAGTATGATCACATTTAGGATCGATAGCCGTACTATTAAGAGAGGTGAAACTCGTATCGAAATGTGGTTATCAAAGTGTCACTAGATGCTCTAACTCATTGCATATGCATTTAGAATCTAGTGGAGTGCTAACACTCTTGAAAATGTTTATGAAAATATGCTAACACACATGCACAAAGGTGATACACATTGTGTTTAGCACTTGGGAGCAAGGGTTTGAAACTCCACCGGTGGAGTCACCGGATAGTCCGACGGTGCCACCGGCGCCCTGTACAGAAAAGACAGGGTTTCACAGAGTGCACCGGACAGGTCAGTGGCGTGTAGTGAAGGCCGCCCTCGGTCTCTTGACCGGACGCAGGCTGAACACTGTTCAGCGTCTGGTCATGCTGTTGTGGCGGCGCACAGAGGAGACAGTGAGTGATCGGACGCTGGGCGAGTCTAGTCGGTGTTGACCGGACGTGTCCGGTCATGAGTGGAACCTTACTGGAAATGACCGGACACTGGGGTCCTACGTCCGGTCACTTTCAATCAGCGCGTTCGGTCACAACTTAAATGTACTTATGACCGTTGAGATCGGGTGATCAGCATTTGAAGCAGGGGACACGTGGCGTGCATCACGCGACCGGACGTTGGGGTCCTGCGTCTGGTCGATCTGCCCGGTGCGTCCGGTCGCCCTGACTTTTCAAAGAACAGAGAGCCAACGGCTCTATTTCATGGGGGCTTCTATTTAAGCCCCATGGCCGGCTCAAGCTCACTCTCTTGGCCATTTGCATTGACATAGCAACCTTGTGAGCTTAGCCAAAGCCCTCCCACTCATCTCCATCATTGATTCATCATCTTTGTGAGATTGGGAGAGAATCCAAGTGCATTGCTTGAGTGATTGCATCTAGAGACACTTGGTGTTCGTGTTTCATTGCCGGATTCACTTGTTGCTCTTGGTGGTTACCACCACCTAGACGGCTTGGTGCATCGGAGGAGGATTGGCATGAGTTGGTGATTGTTCGTGGCCATCTCCCGATGATTGTGAGGGGACTTGTACCTTCCCCGTCGGAGCATCGAAAGGTAACCCTAGTGGATTGCTCATGTCATTGAGTTACCTCACTTGTGGGTAGGTTCTTGTGGTGTCCAATTATATGGATGAGGTTCGTGCAACACCTCTTAGCTGCTGAACCACCAAGTGTTGGTCGACACAACGGGGACATAGCGTGTTGGCAAGCACGTGAACCTCGGGAGAAAATTGATTGTCTCTTGCCCTTTGGTATTCTCCCGGTGATTGATTTAGTGTTCATCTTGTGATTGGTTCACTCCTCTACACGGCGGTATAATCACCCTACTCACTTATTTATATTCTTACAAACTAGTTGTAGCAAGCTCTTTAGTGTAGTTAGAGTTAAGAGCTTGCTTTGTTGTTTTGAGTTCATCTAGTGGAGCTCTTTAGTATAGCAAGTGTGAGAGCTCTTAGTGAGTAGTGACTTAGCAAATTGAGTGTCTAGT